TCTGGTATGAATCTAAACGAACACAGCAGGAAAACTTCTCTTTTTCACTTATGTATATTAATTTTTCACAGTGAGAATTGTGATAGTTCCATACATTCATGCAATGTACTTTCATGAAATTCAGCTCCTCTTCAACACTGGATCTTTAAAAAATATCCACGTAACCATATTCATTCCAATACTATTCACAATATCCAAGAGGTGAAAGAACCCAAATCATCATTGACAGATGACTTGATAAAGAAGAGTGTGGTGTATACATGTAGTTTAGATCTGCACAGAACAGTTGCTACTAGGGTACACCACTCCATTAGCAGTGATGCCAACCAAGGAGAAATGTCGTGGGGGAGGAGGAGAAGAAAACAAGGGACTTCAATTTTCCTAATGCATTTTGTGAGTACCATATAAGTACCCAAAGAAGGTTACCTAGGCACAAGGATAGGTCTGATCCTCTTAGCAATTCCCAGTGCTTGGCTGTTCCACATCTCACAAGTATACCATAGAGAGGAAGCATAGCAGCAAACAGGTCTGCCCTCTGCCAAAGAAGACATTTAGTTTGGAATAGGGTGAAGCTAATCAAATGGGAATTCCTATCCTTTGTCAGAAACCCAAAAAGGTGTAGACCCTGAGTTCAAAGTTCAAATCCCAGTACTGCAAAAAAAGAAGAAAAAAAAAGAAACCCAAAAAGAACCCACTTGCAGGCATATTAATCAACAGAAACTTATCATACAAGCTTCAAAACATTTATAAAGTTTGTTTGTTTTCCTGCAAAAAGTTTAAGAGAAATCCAAATGCTTCCCTTTCAAACTTTTTCAAACGTCATTTATAATTAGAAATACATTCTACTTTGCATCTCGAATCTCATATACATACAGATAAAAGAAGCAAATGAGATTTATGCTTATGAAATGCAATATATTTGACCTGTGTATTTTACTTCATTTGTTTCAAAGATTGTGTACAAACTAAAATTGTTCAACAATACAGAAATGATTGAATTATTTACACAAGTGAATATTATCCACTAATTTTACCAGTTGGTACATATTTTCTTTGTAATTTCTGTCAAGTGTCTGGCTAGGTAAGTCAGGTTGGGCTGGAACTCAGTATTTGGCCCAGGCTGGCATCCCACTCATGATTCTCCAGTTTCACCATCCTGAAGACTGGGACCACAGCCTGTACCACCACTCTCAGTTCCAGATTTATTATATATGACATGAAACTTATATCCGTATATTAGACTGGGCAAAGAAGCTGTCAGCATCTACAAGTGGTCTCATTTGAGGCACAGTGTCCGTTGAGGAGATGACCTCACTTTAGGAATAATGACAAAAGAGAATTTAGAACCCTGGTGGCCAGGCAACCTCAGTCCTGATCAACCAGAGTCAACTCATATCTCTCTAAAACCAGTAAAGACAAGGATGTTTTCTCGTTGTCTCCCCTCATGCAGAGGCTCAGCCTCCAGGAGAGCACAGAGGAGAGGCCAGTCCATTTCTGAAGATACTGGGTCAGCACTCATACACATCACTGGTGGAGGATTTCTTAGAGGATACCAAAGGTGACAGAAAGTAGAACAGGGCAGATGTGGGGAGCACCCACACCACTCTGAACAGATCACAACAGATCCCTCCTTGTGTGTGTGTGTGTGTGTGTGTGTGTGTGTGTGTGTGTGTGTGTGTGTGGTGTGTCAGTGTGTAGAGGAAGATTCCTGCTGTTTTCAGGTCACTATACGGCAAAGTCTCTTTCCAGTTTGCTACTGTGTTGATGTTTTAATTCTGCCTTCTTGATTTCAAACCTGGGAGAAAATTAATCCGCCAACTTCCCAGGTGATGCCTGCACAGAGAAGATCCTCAAGGCAGGCATGGTGGAGAAAGTGGTGGACTGCCTGGTTTCTTCCCTGCTGTTCAGTGACCCAGTCTTCTTTCCCACCTGCCTGTACAGCAAACAAAGAATCACTACCACCAAGCAGAAGTTGGGCAGACTTTACAAATGGTAAACACCACCTCCAAGCCCATAGGATATCCAGCACTAAGCCCAGTTTTGCTTGTAGCCTAGTTTGCTTATCCAGAGAGGGTGACTCAGATTACCACCCTCAGAGGGGGATTCCATGACCTATTGGGATGATCTCTGGAAGGGCTAGGCCAGTGCCTACTCCCACAGAGTTTGCTATACAGGTCAGCTAACTGAATCTACTGCAATCTCTGCCTTGGGAAAGGCAAAAGGCAGGGGAGAAATAAGGTATCTTGTCTCCTTATACAGCTACATCACCAGATCAAAGTTTTGAGCGAAAACCATTTAGAGAACCTAGAAAAACCACCTTTGAGGATCTGAAGCGCAAAGCACATGTTTCAGAGGCTATGAAGTTCCAGGAAGCTCCCAAAGAGACTGCAAGGTTCAAGCAAGCTATAAAGGGTCGTACAACACGAGAATCTACCTGGCCTTCACCTTTGGCTACAGAAAATGGGCTGACCAAGGAGAAACCTCAATTCCAGGTATTCCCTCCCAAACGGTGGCAGAGCAGATCACATTAACATATAAGTGACTGTGGAGGTCAAGGTGGATGCAGGCATTCTTATGACCAACTTCTGCCCAAATGGGTCATTCCCTGGTACAGAAAAAATTTTCCCTCTCATTCCAGTGAGCAATATAAACAGGGATATTTTCTTGATAGAAAATACAACTCCCCTTTGTACAGTGCACATGGGACACCCATAGTTACTATGTAGATTCTTGACTGTAGCAGATGTTAGGAAGCGAGGCACTCATTTTCACCTGTGGAAGGACATCAGAACTTTGGAGAGGTCTGAGATTGCTGATTCCATTCCATTTCTAAGTGAGGCAGGGAGTTTAGTCTATGGGTTTTTGTGAAAGGATAGAGTGCAGTGCTGCATTGACCAAGTTCAACAGGGTGTTAGCATGATCAGAAGCTGAACAGCATCTTGAGAGGGAAAGGAGAATTTGGAGAGACCCAGACAAGGTGTTGGGGTGAATATGCAGGCCCAGATACTTCATTTGTCATTAGAGAATCTGAAGGTTCTGGGACAACAGCCTTAACAATGAGCTCTGTTTGGGGACAGGTCAGTTTAGCTTCCAGGAAGGTCAGAAAGATGAGACAACCAGAATCAAGGAAGCTATATCCCACACAACTACTTCCAACTTGGCCTCACTGTACCTACAAGGAAAGGCAGGGCTGGACAAGGTAGCGGTCCTCCTGGCTGAAGCACCTACTTAGAATAACTTAGAGCAAGGGCCCCACACAAACTCCTCAGAAAGAGCTGAGGGCTGAAATGCAGGTACAAACGCCATCTAATCCAGTACTCACTGCATGACCACAATCTGTGTGTGTGAGACGTCAATCCACATTTCTGTCTTCTGTGGCTTCACTCTTTATTGTCTTGTATCACCCTCTTAAACATCAGTAATGAAGACTGGGTGATGGCTGATCACTCTAGAGCCATTCAAGTCCAACCATTTTTTTCATCAAGATGTTAGAAAATCCACAGTTAAAAAGAGAGAAATTACACATTGAACCCTACCTGACAAAGACAAAAAAGCTTCAATGGAACAAAATTTGTGCAGGGAGAGGACACAAGTGTGTGGATTTCCTGGTCCAGGAACATCCTTGGAGGCCTCCTTAAGCCAGGCTTTCTTTTTTTTCAATACCACTGATACTTTATTTTTTAAGGAAAAAAGAAGGCCAATTATATGCAGGATATTTTAGTAATCACTTGTTTTGTCTTTTTATTATTATAAATTTTTATTAGGATACAATCACTATATAGTGGGGGATTTGTAGTGACAATTCCAATTAGATTTATAGAGGCTGTAAGGGTGTGTACTGAAAACTATTGAAAAACAGAGTAGTGGAAGGTAAATGGGTAAAGGAGAGTATCTCAAAGGATTGAACAGACCAAAGTAAAGCAAGCTTTCTTGCTCTACCAGAAGAGGGAAAGCAAATAGGTGTTCCCTGTGGATCATCAGCAGATCCTCCTCTGGCAGGCAGACCCAGTATCAGAACCCAGGGCATCCTACCTATGTCTACCTCTCGATGCTGTCCAAGAAACTGAGATTCTCACCCAAGACTGCACTATAATGTTGGAATCCCAGGACCCATCCTCATTCCTTCCCAGTGCTGTCACCTCTCCTGTAGGGGCACCAGGAAGTAGAGGGAGCACATGGAGCACAAAGAGGGCAAGCTGAGCCCGCCATCACCAAGAGCAGATGCCTGGTTGACTTTGCTGTCTATGGGACTTCCTGTTGAGGCCTACAGTTCATTCTGCCATAAGGCTCTGGGAGCAGAACTCTCACTCATTTGCACAAAAATATACCCTCTGATGTTGCCCTGTGTGTATAATTTTGTTTGGACAAATACAAATGGATGACTTTAGTGTTTGGAATTAGACATCCTAAGTGCCCTTGACATTCTCTCAAGAGGACTTGATCAAGGGAAAGGCTTATCACCATGGGAAGTGCTCTACAAAGCAATCTGGTACCAGGAGGAAACAGAAAGGCTCCTTGTGATACCGCCCTCCCCAGGAACCTGGATCACTCCTGTTCCTGAGGGAGAACTAAAACTTTTTGTTCATGGCCAGATCCTAGTTCCCCATAATTGTGGTCCCACACCACCACATTCCACCCACATCTTCAAATATCCTGGAGTGCACTGCTTTTCTGCAGACACCTCCAACAGTGCACAGTGGTATGACTTGCATGTATATACGTGTGTTTTCATAAGCCATTTTGGCACTATGTGTGTATCTCTATGTATGCACTTGTGGTCTTCACTAGCACCATTGTGGAACCCAGGTTTGGGTTGAGTTGTGTTTCATTTTTATTAATTTGAGAGAGATGTTCTGGCTATGTGGACTAGGATGGACCTGAACTTGAGATGGTCTTCCCTGAGCCTTCTAAGTGTTGTGATTACAGATGAGCACCATCACACCTGCATTTCATTCTTTGTCACTTCCCTTCTTGTAAATGTCCCTTTTCTATGTTCCAACTGTCCCCTGGGGGTCACAGGTAACATAGGTAGTCATATGTATTTAAAAACTAGGCCTCCCAAGCCAGGAGATGCTAGGGTGATTACTCACTAAGCAAAAAAAGGAGAATAGGGAGATTATGAAATGCTCAGTGAACTGTATAGGCTACATTTTTGGTTGGAAGGATTTAGGCCAGGTGTGAACCCAGCTTTATCACCTGGAATCTTGGGTGCGTGGTTACTGTCTAGCAAGGCATTCTGAGGGACAGTGTGCTAAAGAGTGTGGTGGGTCTGTGTGCAGCTTTCCACATAGTCTCAGCAGGCAGGTGGGTAGAATATCAGTGGACCTTGGGGAAGAGCGCCTCCCCAAGTCAGTATTGTGCAGAGGGGAATAGCTCAGACCCCAGGAGCAGCCAAAGTGGAAGCCTCGTCCAGTTCTTGACACACTGCTTCTGACATGTTCAGAAAGCCTGTAGCTTTTCAGAGAGCATACCAAAGCTGATACAAGATTGACCATGAGAGGTGCATAAGGACATCCAAACAAATCCATTCCCCCATAAAAAGCTACAGAACTCCTCCAATGTGTCTATAGGTTTGGGTACGGTTTTGTGTATGTGTTTGTGCAAAATTTATCTTGGCAATTTTCACTTACTCTAGGGCAAATCATTTTGCCTTTTGCTACTGTTTGTGTATTTGAACTTTGTCTCATTATTCCCCATGCAGATTGGTAGTGAATCATCCTCCTTGCTGGATGAGCCCTATGTAGAGCAGACCCAAAAAGCAGGCACCCTGAAGAATTTGGTGGCTGAAGTCTTGAATTCTGTGCTGTTTGGGGACACCATCTCTGTTCACAACTTCTTAGGAAGCCACAGATCCTTCACTACTTCTGAGCAGGTGTTGACTATGCTATTCTCATGGTAAGCACTACTTCAATACCAGAGGATGCCCAACTCCTGGCTGTGCCTTGCCTTTGCCCTGCCTTGTTCTTGTCCCAGTTTGAGGTACATGGGAAGGAGCCAGGTGGCCTCATTCCTTGCAAAAGTATACATGAGGGGGCTACTATGTGGCATATGCTTACGGGATTTAACAGAATTCAGCCAAATCACTGAAGTCCTAACTCCATTCCCTTGGAAAGTCACCTACAAACAATAGGTGTCAAGCACTTACAAAAGAAATGTCAATTTCTGGTCCCCTCTAGGTATGACTCCAATGAGGATGCCAGACGAGTGGATGAGCTCAGAAGGTAAACAGCCGTTGGATAAAGAGGATGGGCACTTGTGTCAACAGTAAGGATATTTGAGTGCTGGATTTGTTAGGGGTTGCACACACTCAATCCTGATAATTGTGATTCCACCTAGTGGGATGATGTCTAGAGATTCACATTGACCCACAAGGAACCCAAGAGAACCATGAGTGTGGTCCAGAGCACCTGAGGGTCAGATTGGCTCCTAGGCCATCTGAGCAGGACCCTGAGAGTCTTCATCATCCACAACACAGCCTATGCCTGCCAGGCTTGCCCACACTGTTGCCCCTCAGGGCCACAGAAAAGGTTTCAGGTCCTCAAACCTCAGTCGTGGGAACTCAGCTGATCCCTAGTGGCCCAGTGAGTGCTCGCAATGTAGGTTTTCTGCATCAGAAGAGAAGTGTTATGGGCATCCAGACCACACAAACAGTGCTCATGGAAATGAGGCAGCTAGAACCACAATCTGAATCTGCCAGTGCTCTATGATTGCCAGGGAGGAGGAATGCCAAAGAGGAGGTGACATTTCAGAGGAAAGGTGCCCAGGGGACACAGTAGGCAGTGTGTGGAGAGTCCTTGGACAAGGAAAATTTCTTCAAACCATTAAGCTTGGGCTTTCTCCCTTGGAGGATC